CGCGCCGAATTTTTAACAATTAAAGAATTTTGAACTTAACGCAGGTATTGATTAAAGACTTAACACATGCTCTAAATATGCATATGTATATAATTTAAATAGTTAAATAAAAATAAATAAAAGGATATTAAATATTTTAAAAAATAGAAACAATCCTAGTATATAAAATAGATTTTAATAATTTTCTAAGTAAAATTAAGAATTTTCTAATTTTAAAGTTAAGTAACCATTAAAATATAAATAAAATAATTAATATATCATAAACCATTAAAATAAGTATGAAATTTTTTAAAAATAAAACGATTTTACTTTTAAATTAACAATCCAAAATCGTGTTTTAGAAATAAACGATAAATCCAAAAAAATTTTGTTTAAAGAAAAACTTAAGAATAATTTATTTAGATATCACATATCACTATATATTCATATCACTGCACTTAAAAATTCCTCAAAATCAGAACTCTCTGTATTACAGCAAATTAGGCTTACTATTTAATTGTTTATTTCGGGTTAATCTCTGTCACTTTCGGTTTCATTTGTCCCGGGATGATTTCCGCTTTTTTGAAGCCATTTATCATAGTTTCTTTTTCTCTTTTAATTGCTGACAGCTTAAACCCAGCGGTATAATTTTTCCTCTTAATGGGAATTTTTCCTCTTAATTTCCTTTAGAATGGATAACTTAAATACAAGTTATGTTAAAACAAAACGAAAATAGTATAAACGAAACAAAAATATTAACGAAAGAAAAATATTAATAAAACAAAAACGCATGGGAACTGAAGATAAAACGATTAAAAAAAACCTAATAATAATAAGCTGAGGAAGATGATCGAAATCAGCAATGAAAAAAAAAACAATAAAAAGCTCCCTCCCAAGCATTTAAAACAAGTTTCTATTTTTAGCAATTTCTCCCTCTATTTTCGCTTCTCAAATCAGGTTTCTTTTTTCAACTGACTCCGCCTAGGACGGTCTTTCTTCTATCCCTGTCTAAAATTCTCACACACTTTGCTTTTTTCCCTCTGCACTGACCCTCAGTGGAAAGTTTGAAATTCTTTTTGAACATTCTAATTGTAAGATTATTGAAGGTCATTCCAAGCTCATCAGCATGCTTTATTTACCCAACATTCACATGTTTTTAACAACCAGCTGAAGAAAAAAGGGGAGTGGAGAGAGGCATCCATGACAAGTGGAAGAGTCATATTTCCTGGAAAGAACAGGGGGGGAGCATTTGTTTTACAGTTACTTTATCACTGGGCCCACCCTGATTTTCTTCATTCATTTATAGGCCGTCCCGTTAGATACGCCTTCCTGTTAAATTTTCAAGTTTTAAATCAATAACGCTGCGGCCTATCTCCGCAAAATTACGGTATATGTATTATAATTTGTTTTCAGTATTCATTTTTACTAATTATTCAGCATATATTGAAATAATATTTTAAAGAGAGCAATGAAATTGAAAGAAGTTTTGGATTTTTTAAACTCCAATACCAAAATATTAAAATAGGGAGCAAAAAGTATATAGTCTTGAAAAAATAAAGTTATCTTTAAGCTTATCTACAATGGTAAAGACACAAAGGGAAAACAAAAAGAATTAAAGACACTGCTGTTTCAATGCAACATGCAAGTACTATTGTCAGTCCCAAAACAAAGATGGAAAAATTTAGTGCCTTGGCACACATGATGGAACTTGTTTATATTACTGAAGCAGCTGTTTTTAACTGTCTTTATTTAAACTTGAAATTTTATTCAGATTTTAGTGCAAAGTATATCACTACTAAATATTATTTTATAAAAATAATAAAATACTTTAAATAAAAGATGCATAGTAAAATATGAAATCAATACAATGCAAGTTCTAAAACCTTAATTGAATCAAAAACAAATACATGTCTGCCATATTTAATTATATATTTGTTAGCATTTTTTATATTGACAAGGAAATAATTTGTTTACTTTGTGAGATATGATAATGTGACAGAAAGACATAGATCGGCATTTCTTAACTTAGTATATATTTTCTTTTTTTATAAAAAAAATATTTATTAAGAGGTGCAAAAAAAGGAAAGTACAAATCAAAAAATCTAATAATTGTAATGACTAAGAAATAAATTTATTTTGTGGTCACTTTTCTCAGTTCAATTCAAAATATGGCATTAATATTGGCAACAAAAAGCAAAAGAAATTCAGTCAAAGAAGTTTTAAAAAATGAAATTAAATGATACTCACCCTTTAACAAGATGTGGGTATTTTATTCGAATCCAAGCAGCTAACATACCACCATAAGAGCCACCAAATGCTATGACAGAAGATTTATTTACTCCAGGTATGGTAGATTTCAAATAAGAAATTAATTCAGCAAAATCCATAAGTGCTTGCTCAGAGGTTAAGTAACCCCGGTATTTTTCCTCCTAAAATAGAAGGAAAGATTATAAAAAAGAGCCATTTTTTAAACTTGAAAAAACAACCTTTTAAACATAGGACAGGTATCTAAAGAAGAAAAAACTTAGGACAGTTATGTAACATTTATAATAAAAGGAGCCACAGGGAAAAAAATGCTTTTGTCAATAAATCAAGCAAAAAATAAATATTGGATAAAGATTACAGCATAATTTTATTAAATTTTTACATCGTGTTCAAGTATATTTTGAAACTAAATAAGAAAATTTAAACAAAAGAGGGTCAATACTTTCTGAGGTTAAGCAGTCTAAGGAATAAGAAAACGTGGTAGTTATAATAAAAAGCAGTACCTAATTTAAAGTTTTTATTTCTCAATGCTTATTTACTCCTTATATTCTTTATACTTCTTTCAGATTTAAACTGGAAATAGTGTCTAGAGTAACATGCTGTGCAAAATAATTGCTACTTGGTAACATATTCTTTTATTTGGTAATTACTTAATTTTTCTTCTCATTTGATAATTTGTGTTTGGCTGATAATTAATGTTTTCTGCTTAAAAGCCAAGACAGATAAAAATAATAGTAAAAAAATCATATAAACAATTTTTCATACATTAACAGCTTAAAATTCTTCTCAGTTTTTGCTTCATTAGTAGAGTAGAAACAATGATTTTCAGTGGAAAAAAAAGATTAAATAGAACATTTGTCCTGTAATGCTGATTTTCGTTTATTCTAATAAAACCAACAGACTAAGATTGCTATTAGCTTCATACAAACAAAAATAAGTACTTAACACTATCATACGACCATGCACACTATCATACGACATGAAGTAAACCTATTTGGAAGAAAAATAAAAATGCTTATTATTGCCTCATTAATTACAGTGTTGTTGAAATATTTAATATCGCACATCTAAACATGCTATTCCTTAATTTTATTTTTGAGATATGTGTCCACAATGAAAAATAGTTGAAAACAGTTGTGAATTGAATATTTGGCATGTTAATATCACACAAAGACATTTTTAATCCTCTAAAACTATAGCAAATTATAAAAATTATAGCTGGTACAAAATTTTATTAATCAAACATTCAGGAGTATTCATTTAGAACCTAATTCAAACTTAAAATGCTTTTAAATCAACAAACATTTTCTAGATTATCATCATTTAACATAAAATTATAATCCTATTTACAAAATGTGCACAAGAAAAATTGGTATTTTTGATACAATAAAGCTTACACAAAATATTATGAAGGTTATATAGATAAAAACAAGTATTAATACTTTAAGTGATTTATTTCCATAGGGTAAAGATTCTCCATAATATCTATGTTCCGGAAACACAATGAGGGCATTGAACAAAGCAGCATTCTCCCAAATAAACCCCTGAAATGTTAAAACAAATTGAGAACATATCAAGAACTACTCTTACATGGACAAAAGAATGGAACAAAAATTATATTACTATTTTATTAAATAAATTACAAATAATAATTTAACCTATTAAATTACATCCAAATCTAACTTTAAAGCATACAAATGATAATGAGTAATAAAAATAAAGTCGTTACATTTTATTTTTATTGTTTATTTGTAACAAAAGCATTGTGTTCACAAAAAAAAATCTGCTTGTATAGAATAAAATTTTATATAATTTTTTTTAAATTTTAAATGCAATATGTTTTTATTCTAATATTATGGGCGATATTTTTGAACTTCGTATGAAGGAAAAGGTACCAATTGTCTCCTTTTTTTAATCTTTTAAATCATCATTACAGAAAAATAATTAAAAATCATTAAAACCTTTGCAGCAATTACCTAAAAACAGATTGATGATGAAATCATGTGAATCAGACTCTTTAAAAAGAGGTTCCTAAAATGTATGTTTTATTTCGAGATTTAGTTGTAATAAATATCATATAAAAAATACCGAATTTTAAATACTATGTGGAAAACTTTTCTTAATGTGAAAATTTTTAGTAATAGCTGTCAAAAAACGATTAAAACACAATATGCATTAACGCTGATATCGGAGCAGACTGGGCTTGTCAAAAAGTGATTTCTTGAATGCTTGATTTGAACTTCATGAGCTGTAATAATATTGATATTTTTTTAAAGAAAATTACGGGAATATCAATGCTAATAACTGAGTAATGAAAGATATTGGTGGGATTCAAAAACACTAAGTTGAAATTCATAGCAATAATTGCCTTATAAAATGATCAAAACACCATATAAATTTACGATGGAATTGGTGCAATTTCTGAGCAATAAAGTAAAGACTCAAATGTGTGATTCAAAATTTTCAGATGCATATTATCACATCATAAAATTAGAATTGATTTTATTTCACCCAAATTAAAAAAATAATTGACAAATTTACAGCAATGATTAATTAATTCTTTTGCTACAAATCAGAATTTGTAACAAAATCCTCACTCACACTCATATTTTATTAAAATATAAACTATGGTGTTCTTTAAAAAAATGAAAAAAAGAACACTTCTAGAGCAAACTATCTTTTAAAGTTTCAAAATTTCATAATTTTTTCTTTAATATTATTAATACGAAACTCAAGGGGAAGTCAGTCAGTCATTGACAATATTTTTTTCCATTCTCGAATGAAAATAGGAAAATCACCACTATTTCTTTTCCTTCCAATGTGCCAGAAAGGTATCTTTCTAATATAATTCTGCAGAAAAAAACAACTTTCGAAAAATTCTGCAGAAAATAAAAAAAAATTTTTTACTTCTCAAATGAAAAATCTTTCTGCAAGAACACTGTAATGCTCTGCAATAGTGTCACCATGATTCTGCTATGGAGCATACAATTATGCAAACTATGTACTATGATTTTTCCAATCACTATGTTTTGTTGAGAGTCTGAAATTAGATAAATAACCTCTTCCAGTGAAAGTCAACGTTCACAGTCCCTTTGATGAATGTCAGAATTAATATCATTATTTTGATCCTATAGCACATTATTTTGATCCTATAAAAGAAAATGTCTAAATTCAATAATGATTCTTTGACGAAAAAGTTTGTCTTCCATTATTTCCTTCTTGCTGTCGTATCACTGAAAACTGACATTGTAAGTGAGAACTAATGACATCAAAAAAAAAAAATTCCCAACAATTCAGCATAACAAATGTCAACCTTTGCTAGTGTATGAAAGGAATAATAAAATTTAATATATATTTTTAAACCTTCACAAAAGTGATTATATGGATGTCAACATTCACTAATTTTGGTCTTTCACGATAACAACACAGTAATTACATTTGGATGAAAGAAAAAAAATTTCACTTTAATTTGAATTAATATAAAAATACAAGAAACATCAACACAAATAATATTACTAAATACCTAATTAAATATTAGGACACACCCTTGAGACTATTGATTTTTTATCACAAATTTCTAGGTAATGGAATGCTGAATAAACCATTTGCATTTTAATTTAATTTTAATTAAAATTAAAAAAAATTAGCATCTAATTTGAGTAAACTTCATTTTACTTAGAATAGCAATAATTTTTATTCTAAAATTTTAAGTTTTTAATCACAGTATTAATATAAAAAATTCACAAAAGTGAAACAAAAGTAAGACATTGTCAAATTTCTTACTTTATTAAAGGCTGTTAAAAAAAGTTTTCACACCCTTAAAAGTAAGAAGTTTTTAAATAAAGATTAATTATAACTATCCAAAATGAATTTTAACACAAACATACAAGGCTAAAAAAATGTTGCTTTTTTTCGGGACATTAACCTTCCTTTTTGCTTCTGTCAAAATGACAGGTACCACTTGCATTTTTATATTAATTTTACCCTCCATTTCTTGTGTCCCTGGACTGGATTGCCAAACTGGATAGTCCATAAGTTACACACCAAAAAGATTAACACAATCAATTTTATGAGCCAGGAATCACGTTTGTTTCTCAATCTATACACCAGATAGTTTAAAACAAATCAACTGATTTGCCAAACAGATGAACTCATAAAGTAAATCTGCAACGTCACTGAAATTTAGAAATTATAGATTTGAGGGTCTAAGACTTCAAAATTCCTGTTTTGTTTAAAGATAGTCCCTATTGAAAGTCATAAAAGCAGTCCTAATTTAAAAATACACAGGAAAAGTAAATATTTAATGATTTGAAAAAATAATAAAATAGCAATTTACAAATTATTTGAACTATAAACAAAATAACATATCAGTTATCCTTCAAAGTTTAAAATCTAATTACCTCTTCCAAAGAAAATTGTGTTATTTTTTATACATACACACTTATAATTACGATAACACTTTGTTAATGACGGGCAAAATCAAGTTAAACAGAAAACAAAAACTAAATAGTGTCTAAATGGACAACAAAAGAAAAATAAACAAAGTATACACATACAGTATTTAATCATTAAAAAATTGAGTCACAGTAAAAATTAAAGAAATAAAAAATATTCTTGTCTACAATTACTTTTAGCTTAATAAAACAAATCAAGATTAAAAATAAAATTCTAAAAAAAACTTACCACTTGTACTAAACTATAAGAATAAAAGTTAATAATTAAATAAAGTTCAAAGCTTTCTTAATCATCAGAAATTGCAAAACTCTACATAAAATAAAATTTAAAAAATTGCACTTTAAATAATGTTTTGCAAGTAAAATAAAACTAGTAATCAAAATTAATCAAAATAAAAAAAAAATTAAGTATTTGTATTTATATTGATATAACTTACAGTATTATTCGCAAACATTTCGATGTCTCCTTCATTCCCTGCATAAAAAAATACAGATCCATTTCTTGAGTTGAAGTAATCAGAATTAATCAAGTACCGTTGTTGAAATTTGTCATTGTTTGAATAGCCAAAATGATCCACCTAAAGAAGGACCATTAGTTAATTCTTTTTCAATTATACTCAACTAAACATTCACATAAATCACTAAAATAATAATTAAAATTGTTTTAGTAGCTTAGAAATTCTTTTTATACTGGAATAAGTAAAGAAAATTTTTACATGCTTAATAGTAAAAAATGAAGTCAAAACTTCTTTATAAAATTCTTTAAATAATGAATAAACAATGAACAATTACAGTATTTTTTTCTAAATCTTAATTAAATTAGAATTAATTAAAATCCATAGATATCATTTTCTAAGTGGTAATTATTAAGTTATTTTTAGACCACTGCTGATTTTGCATGTAGAATGTCGTATTTTAACCTGCAGTCTTTTCCGCATAGCAAAACCAGTTTTTCCATATTATTATATAGGAAAATAGTGAATTGGGAAGAAACATTCTGCCAATTTAGCCCATTTACTAAACTGCCAGTGATATAATCAAAAAATAAAGTTTATCACAAACTAATGATGGTTATTATTCATGGGTTCTACAATGCTTATGATAAAAAAATCTAAAAAAACTTAACTCTTCTGTACGGTATATATTTTTTAACTAACTTTACAAAAATATTTTTTCAAAGAGGTGCAACCAGGAAACAAGTGCATAAAAATGTCTCAAAAATCATGTATAAATATTTTTACTTATTCATTTATTAATTTTTTAATTCTGAAAAATATGCAAATTTCAAAAATAGTAATATTGAATTTAAATTCCATAAAACAGGATTTTAAATATTCGTGATCGCAACACTCGAATACGCCATCTAGGGAGAAGATCAGTTGAGGGAGGTCTTAACCTACTTCCTTCTCTCTCCTCCTCTTCTTAGTTGTATAGGAATATACTAGGATATTTTCACCTTTCTTCATATTTAATTGCCAAAAATAATTTTTTTAAATTTCCACAACGCTTTCGTTTAAAACTATGTTCAATGCCCTTTTCAGTTTCTTATAGTTTCCTAACTTAAAAAGTTTTTAATCTACTTGAAAATCAAGACAGAAACTAACATACTTTCTTCTACGACTCTCCAAATGCTAATGGTGAAAGTATGCGAAATGTTGCCATAGTTAGAGAATTCTACTCCACTCCACCTGTAGCCCAATTTGATCGCCAATAGATTTAAAGATTTTAGTAACATTTAAATTGTAACATTATTTTTAAAAAATTAATTTACTTAAGCTTTTTTATGCATAGGACTTATGAAATATTATTACTGGCATTTGCAATGTTCAAGTAAGCCACACGAGGAGAAAATTGATAAAATGAATAGAAGTTTCTCCTTTCCTATGTTTTTATGTCCCTTCCCATGTTCCTAATTTTTATTTTTTAAATTCAAAATAAAAAAAGTGTTATTATTTTTAAATTAAAGAATATAATATGACCACATTTAATATGATACAAAATAAAAATCATATCTATTACAAAATAGATAATTTAATTATTAAAACACAGAAAATTTTAATTATGGCAAAACAAGACACTAGTAATGTTCAAAACCAATATAAATGCCTGTTTTTATTATTTTTTTCAAGCAATATGCATCACTTAAACTTTCTTGCCCTTTCTTTGCAGATATCTTTGTATAGACTTTTAAATTGAAATGCTGAAAAAGCCTCATTTTAATAACTACTTTTCAAACAAACTAAAAAAAAAAAAAACATTCTGTTTTTATCATAATTTTTCTAAAACAATTTATTTTTATCAAATTATGATCATGGTCTATGTACTAGACCATAAACATAATTTTTTTTCACCAATTTTTTTCATGAATAGGAAAAGCTAACTTTTTGGAAAAAAAAAAGCTTTCTTGAAAGTAGTTAGCAATACTGGTGCATTTTCTGCATACACTACTTTACTTATTCAATGATTTTATTTCATCACAATAAATTTAAAGCATTTAAAATATAAAGATTTTAACATATATTTTATGACTTCTCCAAGTCAAAAATATACTGAACACAAGACATGCAGGATAAATTCTCCGAAACAGATATGCTACAAATCTGCATTTTTTTTTTTCATTTTAGATTAACAATTAATAGTAATGACATTTTACAAAAAGGTTCGTAAATGTGAAATTAAAAACTTTTCAACAAAATAGGTCTGAATATTGAAAGTAATGTACAGAAATATCCCCCCCCCTACCTTTCCAATGTAAACACAAGAAAAGAAAATTCTTTTTACTGCCCAAAAGGTAAAGGAAATATATAAAGAGCTAAGGACAGTTTATAATTTGTTTGCTTTTTTTTTAATGTTACATTCTTACATCTAACTATTCCATAATATTAATTCCAGATATATACTTGAGAAATCTTCTGAACAATTTGAATCGCTATATTGCTCCAAACTCTTCATACATATAAATATGAATTGTCAACAGAAAGAAGAAATTCACATTTTAACAATAGAAAAAGTACAAAAAAAATTTCAAAAAGCTCAACTCAGTTTAAAATTTACTATTCATAATATAAAAAATAATATAAATTAAGGGATAAAATAAAAATACAATAATATAACACTAAAGTTTTTAATAGAAAAAGTCTAACTCTACATTTTCAACGCTGTTTTTGTGGTAAGAAAATCTCTTTTAAGAATTTAACAGAATCTCAAGAATTATATAATGCAATAGCAAAATTAAATATTAATTAAATTTAAATACATTAGGACGTTCTCATTTAATGTACATGGAAATAACATAAATAATTAAAAATTAAGAGGGATAAAAATAGTATATTAGATAAATAATTAACAAAACGTTTCACAATTATTGATACAGCGTTTCTAATAATTTCAACGATTTCCAAGAAATAAAAAGCGATAATTTCAGAAATATGGTGATGAACAAAACTTTTAAAATAAACTAAGCAAAAGGTGAGAAAAAAACACTTTATAAATTTCTTTAATTATAATCATGAAAAGGTAAAACTTCAGTACCCGTTGCTCAAAATATTTTATATCATACTTGTATCCGACACAATAACTAACAGTCAATATTCCTATCAGCAGCAAGTTAGAAATAAAAAGTTTCATCTTTAAAATATACATAAAATGTAAGAAATAAGGAATAAAACTTATCAAACTGTCTTCATAACAAATTTAAATTCAGATATCCCGGTGATCACGCGCAGAACCGAAACTCAAATCAAAACAGCAGAAGAAGTAGAAGTTTTTAAAGTACATCTTTCTGGGTCACTCATTACGCAAATAATCACTGTATTACTTATGCTAGCCTTCAAATTTGATATGAGATTCTTGATAAAATATAACTCAGTGACACAACAAGAAATACAAACACAGTCGCCAAGTCATGCCCTTGTTTTAAAATGAGAAATTATCTTTTTTTCTGTTATTAACAGGAAATTACAGAGAAGAAAAATGAGTCTTCATAAATCAACCATCTTAAAAAATAGCATTACATTAAAAAAGATAGCAAAAAGATTAAACATTTAAAAAAGGAAGACAGAAAAATAAGCTTAATTGGATCGACATCATAGCCCTTACTTCTCAACCTGTGCTCTGAATTTTGTGAATTTTGAATCAAATTATTGTTCTTTTTTTTTTTTTGTAGTTGTAGTGTATTTACGTCGCACTAGAGCTTCACAATGGGCTATTGGCGACGGTCTGGGTAACATCTATGAAGATGATCCGAAGACATGCCATCTCAATTTTGATCCACTGCAGAAGGGATTCGGTAGCCCGACGTCCTGCACGCGAAGTACAGTAGTAGAAGAACAGTACGGTATAACAGTAGTAGAACGGTAGTTTAACGTGGACCAAAACCGCACACCCTCGGTCCCTACGTAGACTGATCCAAGTGGTCACCCACCCGCACACTGACCGCAGCCAGTGATACTTGACTTCGCTGATCTGCTGGGAACCGCGTCTTAACGATCAGTCCACTGCAAGACTTTTTCTTTCTGTTTAAATGTTTTATAAATTTTTCGAGTTATGGATATTTTAATACAATATTAATCAATGGATATTATAGCTTCCCATGACAACCATTCTTTCATATGAAATGGTGCTTCCTAGTAATGCCTTTCTGCCAAACGCTCTGTAACATGGAGATAGCGAGTTCGAATCTCACCGTAACCCTGTAGTTCCTTTTTAGAAGCAATTTACACAGCATAAGATTACCCTAAACGTACATGCAACTGTTTACATTATTACATGTCAGATAAAATGCTTGCGCATGCGGGAATCACATTGACGTGCGATCACATTTGCGAATCACGTGAGCTTAGGATGCTCCATTACTTGTGCTATCTGTTCTACAGCTTGAAGTCCCGCAGTGAACTGATCGTTAAGACGCGATTCCCAGCAGATCACCGAAGTCAAGCATCACTGGCTGCGGTCAGTGTGCGGGTGGGTGACCACTTGGATCAGTCTGCGTAGGGACCGAGGGTGTGCGGTATTGGTCCTCGTTAAACTGTTCTACCGTAAAGTGCTCGACTTCGCGTGCAGGTCGTCGGGCTACCGAAGTGGGGGTGCCATAACCTCTGCAGAGGATGAAAATTGCGATGGCATGCCTTCGGATCATCCTCAGGGATGCTTCCCAAACCGTCGCCGACAGCCCATTGTGCAGCTCTAATGCGACGTAAATGAACTACAACTGCAACATCTACAGCTTGAATGGGGCTCACTATAGCCTTATTTTTTGATGAGCGCACAAGCCTGCATTTGTATGTGCAACAAATAATAGAGAAATTTATTGTTTGAAACCAGTTTTAAATTAATTCCACAGTTCAGAAAATCATAAAAAAATCCATACATTACCCGTCAAAGAGCCGCGGTAGTCCAGTGGCTAAAAGAATAGGACTAGAAGGGCTGGGGTTTGGTCCTTGACTCTGCTAAAACACACCAAGACCAGGCGATATACTTGCTCATCAAATCTATGGAATCAAAAATCATGTAGTCGGTGACTGAGGGGTATCCGGAGAAAATTTGCTTCCCCTTCAGATCCATGTCTAAATCGAGGAAGTGGATCCCCTCTGCAGAGAATCAAATTTATGACGGCATGTCTTCGGATCATCCCCACTCCACGGATGTTTCCCAGACCATCGTCAATAACCCATTGTGCAGTTTTAGTGCGACGTAAATAAACATCACGACACCAAATAATCAAAATAAAACAAGCTTTTACAAACAAATGCGAAATAAACAATTTCATCTCTTAACTTTAAAATAAAACGATTGCATTGTGTTAGTTCCTGGACTCAAAACCAAAACACATTTTATAAATGCTTATGTCAGCGCGACCTATGCTCTTGACTTAGCATGCTTTGGTGCGCGCAAATTTTTTTAAAAAATGTTCTAAAATTTTCGTAAACATACACATATTTTCTGAAAATAATTATACCTATCCTTTCATTTAAAACCAGCTCTTTAAATATTAATTTCAAAATTTAATTTCAGATTTAATGTCTAAAAATGTATTGAAAAATATAAAATGCTAATTATTTGCTAGATATCAAATAATCAGAAGTGTGCTATAGCCCAAAAAAGTTATAGCGTCGCAGACATTTTTATGTATTTCGAAACTTATTTTAAAAATGGTGATAAATTTAATTTTTTACAGAAAATATTCTTTAAATTTTTTAATGGAAATTTTGAAATTTTTTGTAAAATTTACCACCAATCTCAAAACTTTATTTTTTTTCCAAATAATGATATTAGCGAGACATATGCTCCTGAATTTACGTGTTTCTAACTAAATTATCTTAATTTTTTTTAATGTTGTCATGTATGGATTAATATTTGTTGTCATGTATGGATAATTTAGGAAAACATGACACTTTTACTCCCATTTGAAACTGATTTCAAATGAATCCCACTTTCACTAAACAAATAAATAAAAAAATAAAAGTACCATTTGCCCTCCTAATGATTTCTTATAATGAGAATCAATAAAAAATGGTAAACTTAACAGGAGTGAATTAACAGTTTCGTGATCTATCCTTAAAAAAAGGAGAGTAATTTAGAACTAAAAGGACATTATTTGCTTCTTGACTTATGTTTTTATTTATTTATTTATTTATTTTTTTTACATGTCGAGGTGACCTATGGAATAGTTTATGCGTATACTGGGTTAAATTATTTATTAAAAAAATTTAAATGGATAGTTTTAGAAATTTATGGACTTTTTTAAAAACACGATTTCCCTAAATTGAAGTCAGTTGCTCCAATTATTCTTCAGAAAATACACTGGTGTGCAAAACTTAAGCAACAAGGGCGTTTTTTGTCAGAACTCTACAAGAAATCATCCGATTGACATGAAATTTGAATATGATGTACATTATTTTGTACTTAAACGATGGTAAAGGAATAATAGCGCAGAAATGAATATAAAGCTTAAAGTAGGGTATGGAACAAAAAAAGGCTTTATTTGACATATTGTGGAGTACACATGATTGTCTGAAGAAGCGTAAGTACAACTGGCAGATGTTCTCTAGTATGGGATATGCCCTCCTCTTACTGTAATTGTTGCTTGGCATCGTCTCTCCATGCTATGCACCAGATTATCCAGGAGTTCTTGGGGTAAACGTCTCCATTCCTCCTTTAACGCATCTTTCAGCTGATGGGTGTTACCAAGAGGATACTGTCGTGTCGCAAGACGTCTCCCTAATGCATCCCACACATGCTCTATGGGATTTAGATCTGGAGAGTAAGCTGGCCAATCCATTCGTGTGATATCTTCACTTTCCAGTAGCTCTTGAACATTAGCAGTACGGTGTGGCCGGGCATTGTCATCCATAAAAATGAAGTCTGGTCCAATGGCCCCTCGGAACAGACGCACATGGGGTAGGATTACCTCATTGCAGTAGCGGTCTCCAGTTACAGAACCTCGGTCGAAGATCTGAAGCTCAGTCCGCCCGTTCAACATAATGCCACCCCAGACGACAACTCCAGGACCACCGTAACGATCTCTTTCCGCGATGTTATTGGGATGAAATCGAGCTCCAACCTCTCTCCCGACCAACTGACGTTGAGAATCGCTTGTAGCACTAAAACGACTCTCATCTGTAAAGAGGACGCAACTCCATTGGTGAGGTGTCCAGGTTTTGTGTTCTCTGCACCACTCTTAACGGTGCCGCCGATGGCTAACTTTTAAAGGTATGCAGCGTTCAGGACGTCTGGCAAATAAGCCACCGTTGTGGATGCATCTGGTCACTGTAAATCTTGATACTTTTCGTCCTGTGGCTGTGCACAGTTGCTGAGATATGGCGCTCATTGACTGAAAACGGTTTCTTTTCGCCTGGAGGACAATGTAACGGTCATCTCTTGGTGTTGTTTTCCTTGGACGGCCACCACCAACCTTCCGAACAGCTGTACCAGTAGTTTTAAAGGCATTCCAAGCACGAGAAACAACACTTTTGTTGATCCCGAACTCTTCGGCGACACTGGTCACACTACGCCCCTCCTCAAGCTTCCCAATCATTCTTCCTCGAGTAAAGTCGTCTAAATGATTTCTTGAAGACATGTTTCACAAAACAAATCACTTGCACTTGCAGCGAATGTCTTTAACTACGGTGCTCTTCATCCTTTTATCACAGCTTTGATCTGCGCGCACCGACCCACAAGGTTTACGTACACTTACATCACCTACGACGCTTTACTTCTAAAATTTGCATACAAATAATCTTTCTACTGAATTACGTGCATATTATACTGCAATTTCATGACTATCTTATACTTTGTTGGGGAGCTGTGGCCGAAAAACCACTTGATGCTTAAGTTTTGCACACCATTGTATCAAATGAATTAAAGCTATTGACAAAATTAAACAAATTCTGCACGTTTAATTATTTAAAAAAAAAGAAGAAAAAAAAAGAAGAAACTAAAAGTTTTCAACAGCCATGATGGTAACTCAAAAACACGAGAATTTTTAAAATGAATGACAGCGTTTAAGTTTAGTAAAAAAGAAAAAAAAATGGTCACTGAAAGAGTTCCTGACTGTCGAAAACTGCTCATTTTAGTGAAATCTGTTTAATTAGAATAAAAATCTAGCAAAGCAATCTATTGATAAGATTCTAAAAAAAAAAATAATAAATAAAATAAAAATAAATAAACGTATGAGCTTCTTTATATTTCTCACCATATTTTTGAATACTTTGGAGTTTTAAACTTTGATTTGAACTTTTAAGAATGTGTCTGGCGAGCAAACTTGAACTCGAAAAATATTTTCTCTCTTTTTAGACTGAAAGCTTTATTTTGATACCAAAAATGTTGTCAGTATTTTGACAAGTCTCGTTGAAAAACTTTCTTCCATCCAATTCTTTTTCAAATGCCAAGACATTTTCAGCAAACACCCACAAACGTTTTCGTGGGAAACCTGCCATGGAAAATTGCCCAAGATTGGTCAGCGCTCCGAAACGCAAGAGCAACAACCACGAACAAACAAATGACTTATCTAAATGATAATCTTTAAGAAGCTTCCAATGTCAAGGAATTCAGAAGTATCTGCATCTAAGTATTATTTATAGCTCATCATTTTAGAGAAGATTGGATTAAAATAGATTGCTTATGGTAATCAATCCGTTACTTACTATCTATTGACTATCATACGAATTATCAAAACCATCGAGTACTTTTAAATTGAGTTACAGAAAATTTACATAAAGATTGTCGTATAGAAATAGACATATATATATATTGAAAAATACACAACGGATCAAAAAAAATTATTATTGAATCAAAAAAGTCACTGATAAAAACGAATTAAAGAAAAGTTCCTGATTAAATTAGGTTGGTTACGGTAATCAATCAGTTACTTTCTATCCACTATCACAAGAATTAACAAAAAAGAAGTGGAGTACTTTTTAATTGAGTTACAATGAATTAACATTAAGGTAGTGGTATGAAAATGGTCAAATATCTCGGAAAATACAGAACGGATCAAAAAAGTTTATTATTAAATCAAAAAAGTCATTGATTAAAACGAATTAAAAAAGTCTTTGATTAAATTAGGTTGTTAACGTAATCAATCAGTTACTATCTATCCGCTATCACACGAATTATCAAAGAAGAGGAGTGCTTTTTAATTAAGTTACAGTAAATAAATGTAAATGTTGCCGTAAAAAATGGTCAAATAACTCAAGAAATGAACAACTGATAAAAAATTTAAAAATACACGTGTGAATTATTTTCAAAAAATGCGTTCAATAGTATCAAACTCAACCTCAACCCCCAACCTCACTTCCTTTGGTTGGGGGCAATTTCAAAATCTTGAATGAAAATACTTTTATTTTTAAACGCAAATTTGGATTTTACCGAAGATAGTTCAACGAACGAACAGGTTGTTACGTCTTGGTTCATAGGTAGTCTGTAATTGCAAAATAAAAATGTTATCAAAATTTTACGAATCATGGTTGAGGAAGGTGGGATTAAGAACATTGAAAGTTGTTCCATTACTGCATAAAATTTGAAGATATTTACCTCTCTTCAGTTACTTTGATTTTCTTAATTAACTTCTTTTCTTCTTTTTTTGGATCATGCTTCTTTGTGTGATTTTCAAAACGTTTTTTTTCCTCAAATTCTTATTTTTTTCCCTAATTAGCGAGCCTTTTCTTGAATGATGATTCTAAAAATATATTTCAGTCGATGATTAATGAAACACAATATAATATTGCTGGGTGTTTGGCTATGGTTGAATTATGTAAAACACAGTGTATATTTGGACATTTCATCATTAGTTTTTAGAGATTAGGTTGATCTATCTCTATTAGCACTTAAATTGGTTGCTGCTTCGACTGTTAAAGTATTAGAAAATACTATAGAAGAAATTTGTTAAAATAATTATTTAAATGTCATTGGTGAGTTTTTAAATCTGGACGTACTTCGAAATGTTTGCGAAAATCGACACAGCTCAAAATGCGTGTTCACGAAAATGGGAAGAGCAAAAAAATATTCCTTTTCGGCTTTCAACCTAAATTTAGCAACTAAACGAGAAACTAAGTGTTAACTTTTCCTTACTTAAACACTAAGCATCTTCATTAGGGGTCTAAGTCCCGGACTTGAAGACGTGGTTGCTAGGTACCTGATGATGTACAACTTTAAACAATAAAGTAAGTTTTAAAACTTCCTAAAATGTGAATTTACTACCACTATTATAAACTTATAGCACCCGTGGAAACCTAATAAACACAACTGTTTTTTTTAAGCCTTTTTTTTAAAAAGAAGATTAATTTAATAAAATGTCCAAATTATTTATATAAATGGATGATAACATATTACAAGTTTATTTGGATCCATAAGATTATTCATTTAAAAAAAAAAGAACAACACTCATAAAGGAAGTTTAAAAAAACAGAATCTATTTAATAAATAGCTATGTTCATTTTCGTAATCACACATTTCAGGCTGTGTCCATTTTCGTAAACACGCATTTTAAGCTTTGTCCATTTTGCTAAGTACGGATTTTAAGCTTTGTCCATTTTGCTAAATACGCGTTTCGAGTTGTGCTTATTTCGTAAACACTCATTTCGAAATTTCGAAGTTCGTCTAGGTTTAAAAACTCAACAACGACGAATGATGCATTTTGAATGTAATAAGGCGCTCTTTTGCTTTTATGAATTACTCTATAGATATTATAAATTCAGTAACATTTGAAAGCTTCTAATTTTAGCGTACATTACAGATAAGATCTTAACATCTCCTCTGAACTTTAACATTAAGAGACAACCCACTTAAAAAAAAAACTATTACAAAGCCACATAAAAATTTCAGTCTAATAAAATAAACATTAACGCAACTTTTAAAATACGGTTGTTTTGTAACAGCTATTATTCTTGTTTATTTTTCGGCTATTTAACTGCAAATTTTTTCGAAGGATTGACGCCGTTATTTTTGCCCCCGTGATTTGAAGTGTGCCAACATTTAGCGGCAGTTTTCATTTCTCTGCACTCATAACTACATCATCTGGATTCAAGCCATGAAGTCTTTTTGGAGATTATTGCAACATCCCACCTACGACTTTTTTCCAAGATATTACATTCTACTAACGAAACTGTCACATTGATAGCATCCAAAAATAATAATAAAAGAAACCTTTAACGGCCAAAGAATTATGCAAAATAAGGGAGCTTCTTTTGTGCGACGGGAAGAATCGGGGCGAACGGTGACATATTTTATGACACGGAAGAAAAAAACAGGGAACAGAAAAAGAAAATTTAGTACCAGAAATGAGGACAATTATTTTCTTTTTTAACAACGAAAACATTTGAAGAAGATGGAATTGTTACTAAACATATAGGCCAAAAAATTTTAATTTATTATGTGTAATTAACTTCCAAAACTATTTAAATGCCGTTAAATTTATCTTTTCTGGGGGAAAAAAAAGAAATTTAATTTTTTTGTAAATTTTTAAAATAACAAGAAAACGTTTTTCAATCTTAACGAAAACTTATTGTAATGGGGCCGTTCAAAAAGTACGTACACAAAAATGGAGAAATTTTAACCCCCCCCCTCTTTCGAACATTACCGTACATTAGTACTCCCCCCCCCTCAGAGTACGTACATTTTATTAGTCTATCCCCCTTTTTCATGAAAATTAAAATAATTATGTTTTAAATAAAATTAAATATTTATTTAAGGTGCAGGAAAAAGTCAAATTTAAATTTGGTGTATGCTTATAATGTACGTACTTTGTATAATACCTCCCCCCTCCCCATCGTACAAAACCGTACAAAATAGCAAATTCCCTCCCCCCCTTCGGGATGTACGTACTTTTTGAACGTCCCCAATGTTATAAGAACACGGGAAAAATTAAAGAAATGATTTATAAAAATAATAATAATAAGAGTTGGAACATAGCTCTGAAAAATGCGTATAGTAACATTTACTTATTTATTTTCCACACTCAAATTCTGAGCTATTTAAAGTGCAATAAAGTATAGTTTCTTGAGACAACAAAATAATTTTAATTTATTTAAAAAATAAACTAAAAAAAATGTAAAGACAATATAAACTAAAAAAAATAAGTAAAATATAAAAAATGTTGTCCTGACGGGTTTTTTATTTGAATATTTTATTGTTAGTTTTCCTTTCCCCTCATACATTCGTACTATAACGATAATAATTATTATTATTTTATTACTGTCTTTGAACAGCCTACCCAATTTTTGGATTTACGACTACTAATGTTCAACTTCGCAGCCTTGTAATTTTGAACCCAATTCAAAAGACAAGGGAACGCCTGGACAAGTATTGTTAGAAATTTGCCTCCTTGAAGACCTTTTTGATGGAACTAACCCGCTTTTGCGTTACATGGAGAGGAAAACCACGAAAACTTCCCACGGTTAGCCTAACGGCAAGATGGTTTCTAACCCATGATCAGTCTACCAGTGAGGATATTTTTAAGTCAGCATTGTGGCTGGTTCGAGCCGGGGGCGGAATTCGTATCGACCAGCCATTACTGGGATTCGAACCCGGTTTACCTCGTTGAAAGGCGAACGCTCTGTCCACTGAGCCACCACGGCTCCGATAACTATAATTATTATTATTATTATTATTGTATAATTATTATTATTATTATTATTGTATAATTATTATTATTATTATTATTGTATAATTATTATTATTATTATTGTATAATTATTATTATTATTATTGTAGAATAATTGCGTTTTAATATAAGCAACAAACCGCAAAATGTTCAGCTTTGTACTACAGATCTGCCATAAAATTAAATAATTTTGGTGTAAAAAGAATAAACAAATAAAATAATCTTTTTTCTTCTAATAATTCATATAACTCAAAAGTGAATTCTAACAGATTAATTTTCTTTCTGTAACAAAGTAATACATATTTTTAACTATGTTTTAAAAAAATATTACGGTTTAATGACAAGCAATATTATTTGCATCCACGGTAAATATGCAATTCGAGAATTTGTAAAATTCTAAATAATTCTGCAATATTAAGAGAATTAATTCCAGAAGAGAGTTAAGTTTCTTAAAAAACAGGTGATGAATTAAAGTAATAGAGTGATTAAAAGAAGAAAAAAAAAATTGTTTGGGTTCTCTTAAAGCTCTAGACTTAACAAACAATTAAATTAAAGCAGTCGAAAGAGCTGATTAAGTTCCAGATTAAAACAACCTACTTTGTTGTTTTCCAGTACGCATCGGTCATTTAACTCGAAAGTTACCCGATTTTAATCACGATAAAAGGAAAGATAGTGGATAAAAAAACACCATTTCTCTCTTATCTGTTTTCATCAAGGCGGCAACTTGAGAGATTGATTTTTAAATAAATTCATTTGTTGACTAAGATTTAGATTAACTTCTTTTGTAGTTATAACAGTGATAAATATATACATTAAAATTTCAGATTATTCAACATGTTAGTCTACAAAATATTTTTTGGATTTAAAAAATATCGATTGATTACGAAGCAAATTAAACATCAAAATTTCAGATTGTCCAGCATATTACATTCTACAAAATACTTTTTATATATTTTTTTATTTTAGAAAAATAAAAACATCTATTGATTACGATGCAAATTAAAGCACAGAAATTTCAGATTCTTCAACATGTTGGTCTACAAAATATTTTTTGTATTTAAAAAAATAACTATTGATTACGAAGCAAATTAAAGCATCAAAATTTCAAATTATCCACCATGTTACGCTCTGCAAAATACTTTTTGTATTGTTTTGTTTTTAGAAAAATAAAAACATTTACTGATTACAAAACAAATTAAAATATTAAAGTTTCAAATCATTCAACGTGTTGCATTCTACAAAATATTTTTGTACATGTATATATGTTTTCCCAAGATAAAGGCGAATGTCTTATTATTTAAAAAAAAAAAATCATTAAAAAATTGAATTAATATAGCGTAACATTTTTTGCGCATTATAATTTTTTATTTCAATTTTCTGTTAAGTTTGTTATATTGCAAGAGATGCAAATGCAAAAATTCGTTTTTTTTAAATTTTTTTTAAATTTTTTTATTCCAATTTTTAAAACAAAATAATCGATTCAATATTTTTTCTCGACCTATGTATTACCTGAACAAAGCAAATATCACCAGAGGATTAGTTTTATTCAGTTGCACACGGATTTCTCGACTCTGATAGTTCCCAGTCAGCCATAGTTTGCAGCCCCACCAAAATAATTGACTAAACTATTTGCATGCATAATGTAAAAGCAAATTTGTTTTGTAAAAACCCTGATAAAAAAATTAAAAGTATTATTAGTACAAAAATTTTGAATCGCAAAGGCATTGTGGTTAGGAAACTGAGCTATTATTTACGAAGAACCGAGGTTCGAACTGCAGTAGTGGCTTGAAGCACCACCCAGCTTCAGATCGATGAGAATCAGCTTGTCTGTTTAATATAGTTTATCTATGTAAAGAACTCCCCTTGCCACAAAGTATAAGGTAATCTGCAGCTTTGGACACTTGAAACAACGAATTTCAAAGAGAAGAACTTTTATCTCCCCCAATTCCCTTCCTCTCGCAGTCCCGAGCCAAACCTTGACTTAAATATTGATCCAACAACTCTACTTGAAATAGCTAAAACTCCGTAATCATAGTCACCGCCACTGCTCCAGACGAATGGCGAGGGAAGTTCTTTCC